ACTAAATACAATAAATAGTAACTTTGTTCAAATTAGGGACAAAAGAGACACTAATTCAAATTTGCACAATGTAGGGGTACTAAATAGTAACTTTGTTCGATTTGGGGACACTAGATGTTAATTTCAAATGAAAACAATAAAAAGACTTAGATACCCTTAGTTTTTTGGTTTTATCTTTCAATTTTAAATTTAAAAACTAAAAAAATAATTACGTGGAATATTGAAAAAAAATTGTTTAATTTTAAAGTTTAAATATTAAAAATAATAATAAAATAAGAAAAACTAAACATAATAAAACAATTTAAATAAAAAGGAGAAAAACCGGTTTTAAATTTTAAAAAATGAATTTTTATTTTTACATGAAAGAAAGAATAACTATTTTTATTTTTAAATTTAAAAACATAAAATCAAAAAAGTAATTTCACTTTTTTTATTTCACTTCATTTTGATATAGGGATATTTAATTTTTTTTTTTTTTTTTTTTTCAGATGGGTTGGTTTTCCGTTATTTTCTTAGCAAATTAATAACGTTTCTAACATATGCTATGGTGTTAATAGGGATACATGCAAATTGTAACTTCACAGTAGGCTTAGGTTTAATTACTAGAAGTAAGATTTTTCTCTCGTTGTGTGTTTCTTCAACTTTCTCTCATTTTCCCTGATCATTTTCTCTCCTACCAAACATCATAGACTCTCACCTAAATTTTACCAAAATCTATATTGAAGATCTTAGGACTTCCAAATGTAAAATATCTATATTGAAGATTTTAGAACCGTCAAATATATTAAATTAAAGAGTATATTATCATCCCCAGAATGATCAAATTTATGGTTTGCTTTCGGTTGTCGAGTCACAAAAGGCAATATATGTGACAACTTCTTTAAAACTTTCAACAATAAAATGGACCTCATATATCATCTTCTTCCTAATCAACCTGCTATGGTAAATATCCACTCTTTTTTTAAAGGAAAATAAATAATAATCAACAAAAAAATACTAAAAAAAAAAGGGTTAAAACCATCGATCCCTTTGAAGTTTGATCTCTAACAAATTTTTTTGAGGCTATTGAGGCAAATGATAAAAAATGAATAAATCAAGGAAGTATGGAAAGTGTGTAAATGCAAATGTGGTTAGGAAGAGAGATGCAGCAAAGGTTTGGGATGTTTGGAGAGAATGTGATATGCTTGGAGTGTTTATGTAACGAACAAGTGAGATTATCCTTTTATTTTGTTTGATTCTTTTTCGTTCTTTTATAACCCAATATCTTAGCCTAAACATTATAAGATTAATAAAGTCCTACTGATCTAAACTTGTGTGATTGTTCTACATTAGTGGAGAGCGGTTTGAAAGATAGGCATATTGAGTTTGTCCTTATAGAGTTTTACTCTTATTTCATAATTAATGGGATCAAGTTTAAGTCTATGGATGTTGCATATGAAATTATTTCTGGTGTTAGGATCGACAGACTGTGGATTGATGGATGATTAGAGAGTTGAGAGCAAAGGTGAAATTGATGTTTAGGATATTCTTGGAATTGAAGTGATGTTTGATTATTTTCTTTGCTGTGCGTGTATGCAATTTCTAAGACATTTCTATGGATTAATCTGGAAACTATTGTTTTAATTTTTGGTGTGCTTCACGGTGTATTAGTTAGGTTTTGTAGGATATTTGTGGGTAACATCGCTGTAAACCCTCACAAGACTAAAACTCGTCCGCTAGGGGGACCTAGGGGTGTGGAATCTGTTAACCGAATCAGATCGGACACTTTTTAAACCAAATCGGTTTTTCGGTTTAAAGGATAATCTGAACCAAAACCAAACCGGATTATCCTTTAAATCGCTTATTAACCGAACCGAATTATCGCTTCAGTTATCAATTAACCGGTTTATAAACCAATTTAAAAAAAAAAAAATTGAAGTTGGACTCTTTAGATTCTTAGAATAGCAAGGACACCAAATGGCCACCTCACAGCTGTCGATTTCAAATACCCCAAATCACAATCCAACGCTTACATAATAAACAAACCAACACTTGAGATGCACAGAATCAGTCTCACAGCTTGAGACATCTCATAAACAAAAATGCAGACGCAAAGCTTCCAAACAAACCCTAAAGCTAAAAATATACCAAACCATCGAAGAAGAAGAATGCTGAAGTCCAATCATGGCATTCTCTTATCCAAATCCAAATAGAAAAGTAGTGAAGGAGAAGACGAAAAAGAAAAAGAAATAGGAAAGTGAAAGTGAAAGGAGAAGAAGACAAAAAAGAAAAGGAAAAGTGGAGAAGGAGAGGAAGAGAAAAAGACGAAAAAGAAAAAGAAAATTGGTGAAGGAGCGGAAGAGAAAAAGACGATGAAGAAAAAGCAAAAGTCTGGAAAAGAAAGAGGAAGCAGTGAAAGGAGAAGAAGACGAAAAGAAAAATAATTGAGTTGAGAAGCAGACCTAAGAAAATGTGCAAGGAGACCCAAGAAAAAGTGGGGGGAAAAAAGTAGGGATATATATATATTTTTTTCAAAACTAGTTTTTAAAACCGGTTTCGGTTAACCGGTTTAATATTGCCTTTAAACTGTTAGTCCAATCAGAAATTTTTTTGAGTTATTTTTGGAAACCAAACCCATTAATCCGGAAAACTGATTTTTCGATTCGATTTGGTCCGATTTTCCTTTTCGGTTTAGTTTTTGGTTTTTTTTTTTGCAGCCCTAATATGTATCATATATTTTTCTTTCTTTATGAAGATTTAAGGTTTGGCTTAGAAACATGGATTCCATTTTTCTTGCTATTTAGCTATAATCTTGTTAACATTCTATGATACTTAATATTGTTAGCCAATTGCAATATAACATTACCCAATTTCATTTTCCCTTGTTATATTTTTCTTTTCTAAAAACCACCATTTGGTAATTAAACGATCAACTAAAATTTTTAGGTGTATTATTCAAGAGGTTGAATTCGTTTACTTCAACCCCTAATAAGAAAGGCCATTAGAAGCTTATCCGGTTGTTAACTTCAAAGCCTTAAAAGATTAACTGAGGTGTGCATAAGTTGGTCTGGATAATCCCGGCTAAAAAAAAAAAAAAAACCAACTTGAAGTTGGCTAGTTTTTCAAAATAATAATAATTCATTTATTGTATATGGTATTATGGGATTTGACATTTGTAATATGTTCCATTTGTAGGCTATACATATATTATTGTAGCAAGAGGACTATCATCACATTCGTGGCTCTTAACTCTTATTATGTATAAAGAATAAGATCCAGTCAGATTTGACACATCAAAAGCACAGATCAAATCAATTCAATTATCTAATATTATTTTTATTTGATTATATGCACATCGACCCTCAATATAAATTTGCTGCATCCAGTCTTGATTGCGAGTAAATTTAAGAAATTAAAATTAATTACTCATTTAGAAACAATTCTGGTAGAAACACAAATCAAATGAAGAATAAAACGAAAGTAAAAAATCTGTTAAAAATTCAGACTTGTTAATTTATTGTCCTGACAAATTGCAACATTATTGTCCTGAACAGTTGCAAAATTCCTGTTAACATTAAATTAAAAAACTTTAAAATAAAAAATGTGGCTTAAATAAGTGAAATGGTGTTTTGTTTTTTGTATTAAAGTGGAATGACGTAAAAAAAATGTGGTGCTCCCTCACAGTACGTAAGTTCACTCACTTTAGCTGAGGCTTTCTGTGAACCCCTGAAGTTTAGTGAACGAACCAGAAAACCCATAATTTTCGAAATAAAAAATTTATACCCTTATGATTGACAAATATTTGAGAAAAATTCTACATAAAATCTTGGGTATAATGATTAATACACCCTTATTTTGTCTTTTATAAAAGTTGATATATGACATTTGTCACATGGTCAAAATAGTAAATATATTAAGGGCACGTTTAGCTTATTATTTTTATCCATATTCCTAATCCTATTCTCCAAATAATGTTTGGTACATTATTCCAGAAATATTACCTTATTCTTTTAATTACTTTTAGACCCCATAAGGTTATTAATTTCATCAAATACACCTTGAAAAAAGTTTAAAAATTATCAAAAACACCCCCGCGACCCATACTTGCTAGATTCCGGCAACCACCGTCGATGGTAGCTGGAATCTGTACAACGGTCTACTTGCCGACCAGAAATGGCAGGAAGTTCACCGATTTGGCCTTTTCCGACCAGATCCACCATGGATCCGGCCGAAAAAGGCCAGATCTAGCCGTGAACGACGGCCAAAGAAATGACCATCGTTGACCGAAAATGACGGCCAAAGATGGCCGTTGTTTTGGCCTTTTTCGGCCGTCGAGGGCACAACAGGCCGTAGATCTAACCTTTTTCGGCCAGATCCGTGGTGGATCTGGCCGAAAAAGGCCATAACGACGTGTTACGACACAGATCCGACCAGTCTGTGTCGTAACACGATTTTCTGGCCAGATTCCGAAGGCGGTGGCCGGAATCTGGCATTGCAGGTGGTGGGGGTGTTTTTGTCATTTTATATATTAGGGTATTTAATTAAATTAGCAAACCTTGGGGCTTTTTCTTAAATTTTTAAATTTTATCTCGTAATACTCCCTTATCCAACTATCCAATATTATTCCCAAAATCATATCCAAAATAATAAACCAAACGCACCCTAAATGATTTAAAAATATTAAACTTTAACAGTTTCCCAAAACTTGTATTTTATTTGTTGTCTACTTTAATTTTTATTATAGTGCAACTGTTTAGAAAAATATATTTCGATTATAAGGGTGTAAGTGTTTAATTCTAAAACTCAGGGGTGTCTGGGGAATCTCCACTTTAGCCCTCAAGCTCATCACCTTTTCTCTCTCCCTTAAAATCGGCTTTCTTGGTCACTCTGAAAAACTCAGAAAAAATAAAATCAGAACCAAAGAAAATAGAAAAAAAAAAAAAAAAAAATACAGCTAATAAATAATCAAACACTTGAGATATTTCGTGCGTGTTTCTTCAGTGTTGGCATTGTCACATTTAAAGCAAGAACCAGGCCCCCCCAATTCATTTTCATTTGTTTAAATCCCTGTAACCATCACCATTTTAATTTACCTTCTTCAATGTCTCCTCAACGGCTACTTTGACTGCTCTTTCCAAACAAATAACTCAAAGCTAAGCTAAGCAAAGCAAAGTCACTGAGCAGAGAGCTGAAGGAGAGAGATGGATTTCGGTTCGTTCTTGACGTCCTTGGGGACTTCCTTTATAATTTTCGTAATTTTGATGCTCCTTTTCACGTGGCTCTCCAGGAAACCAGGAAACGTCGTCGTTTATTATCCCAATCGGATCTTGAAAGGTTTGGATCCATGGGAGGGTTCCGCTTCCCGGAATCCCTTCGCTTGATCCGGGAGGTCATGTCTTCTTCCGAGCAAGATGTTATTGACATATCTGGCTTTGACACTGCTGTTTACTTTGTTTTTATGAGCACTGGTTTGTCTCTTCTCTCTCTCTCTCTCTTTTAAATTAATTTTTTATTTTTTAATTTTGTGATTTTTTTAAGGTTTTTGTTTACTTTGGGAGGAAAATTTGACTATTTCACTGTGTTTCATGATTTACGGAATGGAAATTTGAATTTTTCAGGGGTTTTATTGTCTGTATTTCGTGAATTAGTCTATTTTATTTGGTCTTCCTCTCCCTTTGCTATACAAAAGCAGTTATAAACATCTGTGAAAATGCTTAGCTTGAAGATGAGAAAAGGAGTCCTTAGGCCAAGGAAATTTTGTTTGTTTTATTATTTTGGATCAAATTTTTGAAAAAATAAGAGTTGAGTGGTTATTACAGTAAAACCTCTCTATAGTGATACTCTATATGGGAATAAACTCTGCATAATAATAAAAAATTATATTCTCAATTTGAGATAGTTATAAATAAAAATAAACTCCACATTGCAAAAAAAAAATGATATGTTACATTAAAAGTTTAAAATGAAATAAAATATTTATCTAAAGTTATTTGAAACAATGAGTTATTCTTTAGAGTTGTTACTACATCTTTTAACTTGTGGGTACATTACTCGCTAGCATAAATATTTTCTTGTTGAAGCCAAAATATTCTAGCTTTTTAAGTATGTTTAGAGCTTCTTGGCACTAAACTTTTTGTATTTCCATACTATCATCCTCATGATTATTTCCTTTCTCTTCTTGTCTAATTATAAAAATAATTTCTTCTTCAGTTAAAGCATACATGACTTGTTGCTCATTTAGATGATTGATAACAACATTAATATCCATTCAATTAGTGTAGTGAAGTTGTCGAACCTGATTACTTAATTTTACAATGACATTGATTTTCCTCATCCAGTTATTTATAACTTGCAATTCATCGATATCAAAGGTCCTAATTTTGCAATGCTTAAAACAATTGGCAATTGTTTATAGCTTCACATCAATTGACCATGTAGCAATTATATTTACAATTTCATCAAGGTTACTTATCTTTGTTGGTTCTAGGACAAAATCTTCTATCAATTTCAAAAGTAGCCAATTGAAATGCTGAATTGAAACCCTAATGCTATTAAAATATGAATTGAAATCCTAATGTTGTATTACTAAAAAATGAATTATGAAATAAATTTTTTTTGTAATTACATATCTATTAAGTTGTAACCTTCTCGTAGTAATAAATTTAGTTAATCTCACCGTTATAATTATAGAGAGGTTTTACTATAGTAGAATTTGAAAATTAACAAAAATACTCTCTTAGATTTGTTAATTTACTAAACACCCCTTGCATATTTGGAATAGTCTTAACCTTGCATATTTGGAATCCATTTTTGGAATGAGTTGTTTATTTTTTTCAACAAGTTTGTGGAGGATAGATAGATAAATGCGTTGTCCATTTATGAGAATCGCTATTAAATCCAATCAAGAAGTGTTCAACTAAATGTACATAGTGCGCTATACTCTCCCAAAAAAGAAAAAAAAAAATTGCCATACGGTATATTCATGAAACTTTTGATGTAATTAGTCGAACAGTAAAGTCATCAGTTATGAAATTGCATTGTTTGACTATGAACTTTACAAGAAGATATACATTCAGATAGGTAGCATTCTAATTTCTTATTTCATGTGTCAGTGTTGGGGATATTTGTTTTGTCTGGCATTATTCTGCTACCAGTTCTTCTACCAGTTGCTGCAACTGATGACAGTATAAGGAAGACGGCCGCAGCTAAAAGCAATGGGACTACCACAAGCAACGGGACTTTTAGCAATCTTGACAAGTTGTCCATGGGAAATGTCCAAGTAAGCTTTACAACTTCTTCATGAGCTAGTGTTAATTGGTTTCTTCTCTTTGTTGTTTTTTTGTGAGTTATTGACATAATGTGGCTAAGATCATTATTAACTGAGAATGATATTGGTACTCAAAATTGTGTTTCTTGTTTTATGTGCAGGAGAATAGTTCAAGGTTGTGGGGATTCCTTTTATCTGTTTACTGGGTTTCTTTTGTTTCCTATTACCTGTTATGGAAAGCATACAAACATGTTTCTGTTCTGAGAGCGAACGCTTTGATGTCCCCTGAAGTGAGACCTCAGCAATTTGCTGTTCTTTTTAGAGACTTACCTCCTGTTCCTAAAGGTCAATCCATAAAGGAACAGGTTGATTCGTATTTTAAAGCTATCTATCCTGATACATTTTACAGATCAATGGTGGTCACAAACAACAAAGAGGTGTGTTATTAACTTCCTCATCGTCCCAACATCTGCTTGAATACTGTTAGTCAAAGGTCATTTGTGCAATTTCAGCTTTTAAGAAATATCAAAGTGGTGTCGTTTTGATGTTCTCTCTTTTGCTGTCACTGTTTATCTTTATTAAAGCTCAGCTCAGCTCTCTTTCTCTTAATATAAAAGAGAAGCTAATCCCTTGTACAATGTTAAGTTGAATATACCAGACTTACAAGATTTTACAAAGCTTTCTTTTACTCTTTCTTTCTTCATCCTTTGAAAACTCTCATGGTATCAAAGCCAAAGACACACGTCTATGTCTAAGATTCTTGGAAAATTCCAATCCTCTAATAATATGGAGAAATTGATTAGCAATTCCACTGGTTTTCACTCTTCTGCCTTTTCATCAAGTTTCCAAGTGATTAGTCCAAAATTGACAAGGGACAATTACAGAGATAACTATCAATTTTGGCAATCTCAAGCGTTATCTACTGTAGGAGCTCACGAACTTGAGGAACACTTGACCGGTCTTGATCCTTGTCCCGAACCTTTGATTGGCTCTAATGGAGAGTCCTCATCTGATTTGAGTGTGAATAATTTGAAGGAAACCCTAGCCAAAGAAAAGATCAATCCAGCCTACGTTGCTTGGAAGAAAACAGATAAGTTCCTTGTTACTTGGCTTTTAGCTTCAATTTCAGAGTGTATATTCAGTAATGTTTCTAAATGTAAATCTGCTACTAAGATTTGATTTGCATTAGAACATGAATTCTTAACTGAATCTAAAGCTAGAGCTCTAAATTTGAAGAACTTGATTCAAAATACACAAAAAAGAAATCTTAGTGTTAGTGATTACATTAAGAAAATGAGAAGTATTGCTGAGAGCCTATCGGCCAGTGGTCACATAATCACAGATGATGAGTTGCTTCAACATGTATTAGATGGTTTAGGTCCGGAGTTTCATGCTGTCGTTGTTAATCTGACTTCTAGAATTGAGTCAAAATTTGACTCAGTCATTCTACAGGAAGCGATCAGTACCTATTACAGAAGTATGAGATGAGATTAGAGAAGTTCAACTCCCCTGATTTTCCACTAAGTTCAACACATGTTGCCTTACTAAACACCTCCACCAATAAACCTTTATCTGTCACCACAGGGACAGTATCATCTAGCTTCCCTATCTCACCGTCTCACACAAATCAGTTACCAACACCTTTACCACAAATCTCACAACTTCCCTTTTATACTCTCCTGCTAGTTTCCCCAATCCACCCCTTCTTCACTACATTTTACCTAAACAGGTGAACTTATTTGGTCAGTATGGTTCTTTTTCTACTTATCAACCACCCGGCTTTAACACAATGAATAGAGGCAGAGGCCGAGCAACCAATAAAGGCAAACCAGTCTGTCAAGTTTGCAGCAAAATAGGTCATACTATAGTGCGGTGCTACCAGTAACGTAACTCAACTTACAATGGAGTTCCACCTCACCAACTTAGTTCACCCAATCACCAATTTGGTTTTGATCCTGTTTTTCCCCAATACAATAACAAACCTTCCAATAGCTTTCAACCATCTCATCCGACAACTAACCCCTATGGACTGAATTGACAACACTTTTCTCAACATACCCATCCTTCTTCACAGTTTAATCAGTCTTCACAGCCCAACCTACAAAACTCACCACTTTTTCCCCAACAACAGCCAGCACTCACTGTTCCCAACAACAATTTAACTCACCAAACCAAGCCTATTACACTACACATTCATCTTCCTTTCCTTAGTCCTCTACTCTCACACCTATGATCATTAACTCAACAACTCCACCTGATCCAGCCTAGTACATGGATTCAGGTGCTACTAACCATGTTACCTCAGATCTTAACCAGCTTGCTATCAGTAAGAGCTATGATGGGAGTGATCAATTGCAAGTAGGCAGTGGTGAGTCCTTAAATATATCTCATGTTGGTTTCTCTCTTTTACCTAGTTCTCTTCAATCTAAATGCATTTTCTTAAAAAATGTTTTGTGTGCCTAGGATAACCAAAAATCTTCTTAGTATTTCTAAACTCACTCAAGATAATAGTGTTGTTGTTGAATTTGACTCTAACTGTTGCACTGTTAAGGACAAGGCTACTAGGGCAGTGCTTCTGCAGGGAGGACTTAAAACAGGCCTATATTAGTTACATGTTCCTACTAGTCAACCATTTAGTCCTGAGTTTGCTCATTCTCAGCTTAAGTCCTCTGTTTTCTTAGCTCCCAAATCAGTTGTTACTTCCCTAGGTGATAAGTCTGTCAACTTAAAGGCTTGTAAGAACAATAAAATTGAGTTGCAAGTTACTATTGTTGGTAATAAGTTTGTCAACTTAGGTGCTGTTGATTGTCAATCCAATGTATCTGAACATAATCCATGTAATTCTTCACAATTGAAGTCTGTCAACTCTAATGCCATGGTTGTTGATTCTGTACTTGTAAGAAGAATTCCTTTGATATGAATAAAAGAAATGCATCTGCTAATTCTTGTTTTGTTTTACATAATCTTCATTCAACTGTTTTACATTCAACTCCAGACAAAGTTGTTGAAAATTGTTCTTTGCATGCTGAAAATTGTCATTCGCATTCTCTTGATAGACATCATTTGCATTCTCTTCATTCAGTCATACAGTCATCTAATTCTGGTTTAGTTTCTCATAACACACAGCCACTTAGTTTGGGTTCAGTTTTCTAGAGTTCACAACCCACTGAGTTTCTCAGTTCTGATTGTTTAATCACACCAGCAATTAGTTTTGATACTGCTACATTTCACACACAACCCACTTCTTCATTTGAAAGTTTACCTTTGAGTACACAACTTACTAATAACTCTTACTCCACTATTCTACATACTTAGTCTACTGTTTTACCAACAATGGAGCAATTAAACTCACACTCAACAAATTTAGATCATATCCATGGCATAACATCTCACACACCTTCAACTTTTCAAGTCACCAATACTAAGGATAATTCTTTAATACTTTGGCACAATAGACTTGGTCATCCTTATGCAGAAATCTTAAACAAAATTCTGGTTAAGATACTTAAAACTTCAAACAAAGCTAATTTCAACTCTTCATTAGGTTTTTGTGATGCTTGCAAATTGGGCAAGATACACAAAAATCCTTTTCCTAATTCACATAATAGAGCAACTCAACCACTTGAAATTGTTCATAGTGATATTTGGGGTCTAGCCCCTGTCGCTTCGTTAGAAGATTTTAAATACTATACACACTTCATTGATGATTATATTAGATACACATGGATGTTTCCTTTAAGAACTAAGGTTGAAGTTCACTCTGTTTTTATTAAGTTTCATCATTTTGTTGAAAGAAAATTCAATTATAAGTTGAAATGTTTACAATCTGATCAGGGAGCTGAATACAAGGGTTTAATCCCTTACCTAACTAATGCTGGCATACTTTTTAGGCACTCTTGTGCTTATGTTCACCAACAAAATGGTAGCAGTGAAAGAAAACATAGACATATTGCTGAAACTGGCCTTACACTTCTTGCACATGCATTCATGCCTTTACATTTTTTGTGGTTAGCTTTTGATTCTGCTGTATTTCTCATAAATAGACTGCCTACATCAATTCTGAATTTTATCTCTCCATATCAAACTTTGTTTTGCCGTGAGCCTCTTTACTCAACTCTTAAAGTTTTTGGGTGTGCTTGTTTTCCATACTTAAGAGATTTTCAAAAACACAAGTTTAGTTTTCATTCTTCCAAGTGTGTTTTTGTTGGTTATAGTCTTGAACAAGGGTTATAAATGTCTCAACTCTGATGGTAAAGTTTTTATTACACCTAGTGTTCAATTTAATGAAACAAAAATTCCCTTTGCTTTCGGTTTCTGTTCTGATGTGTCCAAGCCTTCCACTCCTTAAAACCTTCAAAATTCTTCAGCATCTTCCATTTCTTCATGTCTTAAGTCTTTAGTCTCCAGTTTTCCTTTTGTTTCAATTCAATCAGTAACTGATAATAGGCCACAAGTTGCTCTTGCAGAGGATTGGTCTCCACCAAATCCTTCTTCAATAGTTGGTAAGTCATCTTTTTCTCCTTTGTTTCATCCTTCAACGACTTTATCTCCTTGTTCCAATTCATCCTTACACCATCCTAATCCTATACACTCATTAATATCACCTGTTTTCTTTGGTGACAGTCCCACTCGTGCACCTAATCCTATTCTGAATACTAATCCTAATCATAATCCTAATCCTAGCACCTCATTATGCATGCCCACTACATCTTCTTCAACTCTATTAAATTGTCCTTTAGTCGTTGATCTCACCTCTTTCTCTCATTTGACACACACAGGTCAGACACAAAGGAGTTCACCTAGTTACCCACTTGTTATTGACTTGCACTCATCACAGTTCCCTACTGAAAAACACCCATTGAACATCTCTTCCACCAATACACATCCCATGCAAACTAGAGCCAAGACAGCCTCCCAACAAGCCCTTAGTACCTCACCCTTTCCCCCACTTTATTAATCTTGAACCTACAGCCTCCAAAAACATTGATGCTCACCTCATTAATACTAAACCTACAGCCTCCCAAAACACTGATGATCACCTCATTAATACTGAACCTATAGCCTCCCAACACACTGATGCTCTTCAGCCACCATCTTAAAATACCACTGCACTTATCATTTCAAAACCTTCTCCTCCACTACCTGCTCATTCAGAACCTTCCATAGTAACAAAAGCACTAGCTCATCCTGACTAGAATAAGGCAATGCAGACAGAGTTTAATGCTTTTATGGCCAATGAATCTTGGGTATTAGTTCCTAAAACATCAAATATGAATAGTGTTGGCAACAAATGGGTCTTTAGAACCAAGTTTCATGCTGATGGGAGTTTACAAAAATATAAGGCTAGATTAGTAGCCAAAGGATTCCAACAAACTCTAGGATTGAATTACTTTGAAACCTTCAGCCCTGTTATTAAACCTTCAACTATCCGCTTTATTTTTTCTCTTGCTGTCTCCAAAGGATGGGATATACAACAAATTGATATAAATAATGCTTTCCTCAATGACTCTCTAAGTGAAACAGTCTTTATGAAACAACCTGAAGGTTTTGAGAGTTTTCAGTATCCCTTTCATGCGTACAAGCTTAGAAAGGCTCTTTATGGTCTTAAACAAGCCTCAAGGGCTTGGTTTGAAAAACTTAAGCAAGCCTTGCTAGACAGAAAATTTGTGAACTCGATTTCTGACTCAAGTTTGTTCATCTACAAGGATAATTCTCAATTTTTGTATGTCCTTATTTATGTGGATGACATACTTGTTACTGATTCAAACACATCATCAATTCAGCAACTTATTGAAGGATTGAATCACCAGTTTGCATTAAAAAGTCTTGGATCAGTTTCTTATTTCTTGGGATTGGAAGCAACAAGAAATTCAAAAGGGCTTCACCTAAAACAAACTAAATATATCACTGATTTTCTTGTTAAAACAAAAATGCAAGATGCTCATCCTTGTCCAACACATATGACTATTGGAAACAAGTTGTTTATAGGTGACAGTGAGTTATTTTCGGATCCTAGTCTCTATAGAAGCACCATCGGAGCTTTACAATATTTGACTTTAACTCGGCCAGACATAAGCTTTACGGTAAATAAGCTTAGTCAATATCTTTAAGCACCTTCTGAACTTCAGTGGCAGGCATGTAAAAGAGTGCTAAGATACATCAAAGGCACTCAGTTTCATGGGTTACATTTCAGACCAGCTACTTTTATAAGCATAGAGTGTTATGCCGATGCTGATTGAGGAAGTAACTTAGATGATCGGAGATCCACAAGTGGGTACTATGTTTTCTTAGGTCCCAACCTGATTCAATGGAGTTCTCGGAAGCAAAAAGTGATGGCTTTATCCTCAACAGAAGCTGAGTACAGAGCACTTGCACACACAGCTACTGAACTAGCCTGGCTAGACAACTTGTTCTCTGAATTAGGAGTTGTCTTGAGCTCTTCACCAGTAATCTGGTGTGATAACATCAGTGCTGGAGCATTGGTAGCCAATCCTGTATTTCATGCACGCACAAAGCATATTGAGATTGATGCTCACTACTTAAGGGATCAAGTGCTAGCTAAGAAACTTTCGGTGCAATATGTGCCTTCAAAACTTCAGATTGCTGACATTTTAACCAAGCCACTATCTGCTGCTCAGTTTCAAGAATTGAAAATGAAATTAAATATGATCAGATCAGTAGAAGAAAGAAAGAATTAACTACAGTATGATAGGTTTCAGAGTTGGCAGTTTATAAGTGTTTTGTTCAGAGTTGATTGATTGTTGAATGCAGAATTGTTTGCTGTTGCATTGCAGAATTGCAGAATTGTTTATTTGCTGTTGAAGGGTTGATTGATTGGTGAATGCAGAATTGTTTGCTTGCTGTTGAAGGGTTGATTGATTGTTGAATGCAGAATTGTTTGCAGTTGCATTGCAGAATTGCAGAATTGTTTGCTGTGCAGAAATGCAGAATTGTTTGTTTGCAGAATTGCAGAATTGTTTGCTGTGCAGAATTGTCTGCATAAATTGCAGAATTGTTTGCTGTTGAAATGCAGATTTGTCTGCACAAATTGCAGAATTGTTTGCTGTTGAAATGCAGAATTGTCTACACAATTGTAGAATTGTTTGCTGTTGAAATGCGGAATTGTTTGCAGAATTGCAGAATTTGCTTGGAAGAGCTGAGTTTAGTTTAATCCAAGAGTTGGTTGTTTACTGCTGTCCAGAATTGTTTTGCAACTGGTTGCTGTCCAGAATTGTTTTGCAGCATTGCGAGAGCTGAAATTAATCCAAGAAGAGATAGTATGGATTGCGGGGGAATGTTAGCCACAAGATGATCAGAATTAATTGTTCTAAGAAGAGATAGTATGGTTTAAGGGGGAATATTAGTCAAAGGTCATTTGTGTAATTTCAGCTTTTAGGAATCATCAAAGTGGTGTCGTTTTGATGTTCTCTCCTTTGCTGTCACTGTTTATCTTTACTAAAGCTCAGCTCAGCTCATCTCTCTTTCTCTTAATATAAAAGAGAAGCTAATCCCTTGTACAGTGTTAAGTCGAATATACCAGACTTACAAGATTTTACAAAGCTTTCTTTTACTCTTTCTTTCTTCATCCTTTGAAAACTCTCAAATACATCTGCTTTCGTACTGTTTTTATATGAGCATCATTTCAAGTTTCCATACATGTGCTTGAATCAAGTTTGTTTTGTATGTGATTTTTTCGTATTTCTACCATTGGATTTACTTCTTTATTGTTGTTTCATAGTTTTCAGTCTTTTGAATTACTATATTCAAGTCTAGGATATGAATATAATAACGTTTTTACAGGAAATAATATTCTAGATGCCATAAAAGAAAAAAATGTTGATTTTGTAGATTAGATGATTATTTCCCTTAGTCATGTGAACTGTACTAATTGTTGTTCTCTTTTCTGTAGATTAGATGATTATTTCCCTTAGTAATGTGAACTGTACTATATGTTGTTCTCTTTTCTGTTGCTCATTTTAAGTTTACATTGGTTGGTTCCACTTAGGTTAACAAAATTTATGAGGAGTTGGAAGGATACAAAAAGAAGCTTGCACGTACAGAAGCAATATATGCAGAGTCGAAAAAAACTGGCAAGCTAGAAGGAACAAGACCGACCACCAGAACAGGCTGCTTTGGTCTCACTGGTAAAAAGGTTGATGCAATAGAATACTATAAGGAGAAGATAAGTGAATTAACTCCAAAACTGGAAGCCGAACAAAAGGTCACTCTCCGAGAGAAGCAGCTAGGTGCTGCTCTAGTCTTCTTCACCAGTAGGGTGTCTGCAGCCTCTGCAGCTCAGAGTCTTCATGCCCAAATAGTTGACACATGGACTGTGACGGATGCACCTGAAGCCCGCGAAATATTGTGGACTAACCTAAAAACCAAGTATTTTGAAAGGCAGACAAGGCAATCTTTGATTTACTTTATCGTGGCCCTGACCATTCTGTTTTAGATGATTCCAATTGGGTTTATTTCTGCATTGACAACCCTGGATAATCTAAAGAAAATTCTTCCATTTGTAAAGCCAGTTGTGAAATTACATGCAATTAAGACAGTTTTGGAAGCTTATCTCCCCCAGATTGCACTTATAGTGTTTTTGGCTCTGTTACCCAAGTTTCTATTGTTTCTATCAAAGGCTGAGGGGATTCCTTCCGAGAGTCATGCAGTAAGGGCTGCATCAGGAAAATATTTCTATTTTGATGTGCTTAATGCTTTTATCGGCGTCACTGTGGGTGGGACACTTTTCAGTACTCTCAAGAACCTTGAGGGGGATCCGAACTCCATCATCGACGTACTAGCAAATGGCCTTCCTGTGAATGCAACCTTCTTTCTGACCTTTGTGGCTCTGAAGTAAGATTAAATCTTATATATTATCATTTTATTTTTTTAAGTGCATCTTTTTCCTTTTAGATTTTTCGAAAGACATGGAAAATCAAGTTAGGTTACTTTTTAACGCACTGACCTCCAAGAACCATATAGCACTTCAATCCTGCAACGCCAGTTAGTTTAAATAAAAAAATTTCTCTTCATGTTCTGTTTCTTCTTTTCTTGATTTTTTTCATCTTTTGTATAACTTATGATCAATCTTATTTCTTGCACGTGTCATCTTTTCTAGTACTAGAGTATTTTTGCATTAATTTTATTTACTAGGAATTTTTTTTTAACTTTTCCATGTGCAACGGATCCCAGGTTTTTTGTTGGCCATGGGCATGAATTATCTCGAATAGTTCCTCTCATTATATTTCATCTGAAAAGGAAGTATCTTTGCAAGACTGAAGCTGAGGTGAAAGAAGCTTGGCTTCCCGGAGATCTTAGTTATGGAACTAGAATTCCTAAGGACATGCTTGTCGTCACACTTGTCCTCTGCTACTCTGTCATAGCTCCTATGATTATCCCATTTGGTGTTGTGTACTTTGCCCTGGGATGGCTTATCCTTAGGAATCAGGTAATTCTCATTCTCTGTTACTTAGTTTTATTTTTCTAGTTTCTTGTTCTTGTTTGTCATACTTGTTTCCTTGTCGAAGGGAAAACGATGAATTCTAGTTCTCCTTTTCCCACCTAAACAATCACACTGAAATCTTTCTATCTATTTTTGTTGTTTAACAAACAGGCACTCAAAGTATATGTTCCATCATATGAGAGCTATGGAAGGATTTGGCCACACATTTTTGCGCGAGTTGTTGCCTCGCTGCTACTCTACCAGGTTACCATGTTCGGTTACTTTGGGGTGAAGAAATTCCATTTTACTCCACTTATAATTCCACTTCCGATATTGTCCTTGCTCTTTGCCTATGTTTGTAGCAAGAAATTCTATAGATCTTTCAGCAACACGGCCCTTGAAGTTGCTTGCCACGAACTGAAGGAAACGCCTAACATGGAGCAGGTGTTCAGGTCCTACATTCCACCAAGCTTGAGCTATGAAAAGGCTGATGATGAGCAGTTTGAAGACGCATTATCTCAAGTTTCACGGTCAGGGTCGTTTGTTTGATGTAAAGGTAGTAGCTGAACTTGTGAGAACTTTAGATTAATTATTTGTTGATAGAGACCATGTCGCTGAGTTGTTTGTAATATTATTTTGTGTTGGGGGAATGCTACGAACAACTTTGATTTCTATACAAATTATTGGCTTGTATAGTGTCATTTCCTAAATATTAATTGCCTTACCTAATTATTGCCAACCAGGCCCAGCTACCTAATTAATTAATCAGCAAGTTGATAATTTTTTATCTTTATCAATAGTAAATTATGGATGTAGTAGCTATGATTTTTAGGAATTAACTGGAAGGGGTATTTATGTAATTCAACAGTTATCAGTTTTAACACACGTTTTTAGCTGGTTTGTTAAGTTGTTAATTAGTCAGGTTTAATTAGTTGGATTAGTTACTTAAGTAGTTAGTTAGTCAGTAATTAATGAGCTAAGCTTTGTATATAAACTCTCTTGTAAATAAATGAAAGTTAAGAGCATTATTTAGAAACTTTTTCTTCCTCTATTCGTTCATGGTATCAGAGCAGAAAGTACTTTTTTCTTCTGAATCTTCTTTGAGCTCTTGAAGCTTTGCTTTCCGAATTGATTACTTGACATGATGAGAGAATCAAGTAATACTGGATCTGGAGAATCACCAGTGAACTCCAACGATAGTTCAGTTTTGAAAGAAATGGAGTTGAACAATGGAAAAAATTATATGATAATGCAAAATTTGGATCATCCAGGCATGCAACTGGTGAATTTTCTACTTACAGGTAACGAAAACTATCTAGCATGGAGTAGATCAGTTTTAATTACATTAGGTGCAAAACAGAAGTCAGGGTTTATTAATGGGAAAATTTCTAGGCCATAACAAGATTCTGATAGTTTTTAACTTTGGACAAGGGTTGATTGCATGATTAGGTCATGGTTATTGAACTCTGTTTCAAGTGACACAGTAGGAGCTTTTCTTTATGCATCTACTATTGAAGAACTATGGGATGAACTTAAGGAACATTATGGTGAAAGCAATAGACATTTGATCTATCAAATTCAGAGGGAAATTGCTTCAGTGTCACAAGGAAATGAGACAATTTCGAAGTATTATACAAAATTAAAAAACTTTGGGATGAGTTGAATTTCATTTTGCCAGTTCCTGATTGTAGTTGTCGATCAGGAAAAAGGATGAATGATATTAATTCTCTGAATCGTTTGATGCAATTTTTTATGGAGCTTAATGATTCCTATGATCAGTTAAGAAGCCAAATTTTAGTACTTGAACCATTACCTATTGTTAATAAGGCCTATTCTATGGCTTTAAAAGTTGAAAAACAAAGGGAGGTTCATATCAATTTTTCAGACTCAAGTAGTGTCTCTGCCATGTTTGCTAAGGCACAGATGAATCAAGGGAATAATTCAGCAAAGAAGTATGGAAATAGTGGTAGTAACTATAGTGGGGGAAATAAGAATAAACAGGAAAATAGGAAGAGGAATGCTGATAAACACTGTGATTTTTGTAACCAAAATTGACACACAAGAGAATTTTGTTTCAAAATTATAGGTTATCCAGAATGGTATAAAGAGCTGGAAGGTCAGCCGGGTAAAACCAACGCTGGGGGTACAGCAATGGTAGCACAGATGATGGATTCTCCTTTGAATTTTGAGGAAAGTGGTGAAGAGGAAAGAAAGGATTGCAGGGACAATCTCTCACTGATATTATACAACAGGAGGTTATGAAGTTGATGAAAGGGAAAATGCAATTGGAAAATAATCAGGTGAACTTTGCTCAACTAGGGGACTTTGCAGGTATGAATTATAGCTTACAAGTTATTGATTGCTTAGAAGTAGGAACATGGATTGTTGATACAGGTGCTTCAAACCATATGTGTGTTGATTTGAAACTTATGAACTCACTAAAACCTGTAACCAAACCTACACTTGTCTATTTACCAGATGGAACCATAAAATTTGTGAACCATATTGGAAACATCCTATTAAACTCTAAACTGACCCTGCATGATGCTCTGCATGTTCCATCTTTTAAATTTAATCTACTTTCAGTACCCAAACTCACTGCTAATGCAAATCTTAAATTTAACTTTTATCCAAAACATTGTGTTTTGCAAGACCTACAAAATGAAGAAATATTAGCAGTTGGGAAACTTGTTGGGAATTTGTACATTCTGGACAAAAACAGTCTCCATTTTAGGAATTTTTCTACTTGTAATAAGAAAGAAACACAAGCTATATCAGCTAAGTGTTTAGCTCATGTTTGTAACATTTCTTTTTCTGCTAATAAAGTGGATCATTTCTCATTATCTCTTTGGCATAAGAGACTTGGTCACAGTTCCTTGAATGCATTGCATCATTTACAATTTATTGATAAATCCATTGATGCATCTTTTTCAGATTATGATGTGTCTCACAAAGCAAAACAGTCCAGGTTACCTTTTCCTATAAGTCGAACCATATCACTTAAACCTTTTGATTTACTTCATTTGGATCTATGGGGTCCTTATAAAGTAAAATCTGTTACATGGGCACATTATGTACTAACTATTGTTGATGATCACAATAGGGCAGTGTGGACTTTTCTCCTTTCCTATAAAACACAAACCTTCACTACTTTGCAAAATTTCTTTCGTCTTGTAGAAACCCAATTTGATGCTAAAGTTAAAAGCATTAGAACAGACAATGAAACTGAATTTCTCAATTCTAATTGTTAGCAACTATTTCATACATTAGGTATTATACATCAGAAAACTTGTGTCTATACACCTCAGCAGAATGGTATTGCTGAAAGAAAACATAGGCATTTACTTCAAGTAGCTAGAGCTCTGATTTTTCAAGCTAATATGCTTGTTAGGTTTTGGGATCATGCCATTCTCATGGCAACTCATATCATTAATAGGTTACCAACCTCAGTCCTTCAATGGAAATCCATATATGAACTACTATACAAACAGATTCCTACCTATGATTTTTTCAAGGTTTTTGGTTGCCTTTGTTATGCAACCAATACATTGCCACACAAGGATAAATTTGCACCTAGAGCTAATAGGTGTTGTTTCATTGGTTACAGTCAAGGTCAAAAAGCTTTTAAGCTTTATGATTTGTCTTCTAAAACAATATTTGTTTCTCGAGATGTATTTTTCCTTGAACATCTATTTCCTTTCTCTACTGATTCTACTGCAAACAAGCCTTCATGTATGCCACTAATTCCTTCTGTTTTTGAAGACTTGTTCCCTACAGAAAATACTTGTTTACCTGCCACATCTCACCCACAGTTTACATCTGTTTTTGATAGGTCTGATACTATACCTTCTGCTGAGTTAGAAACTCATTCATCACCTAGAGTTGACACTGTTATGCATACTGAACTTGTTACTGATGAATTAATTCTTGAAAATTTGTCTCCTAATCATGTAGAACTGCATTCACAGCCTATCCCACTTGAACATTCTCTACCTAGGCACAATTTTAGATCTAAACAGCCACCAAAATGGATGAATGATTATGTGCTGCATTGTCATAATTCCCAACAGATCTCAACTGTTGATAAATCTCATTTTTCTTCAATTCATACACTCCAATTTACCCTTACATTAATCCTCCTTGTTTATCACACACATATATAAATTTTTTAGCTAATGTCTCAACAATCCAAGAACCTACTTCTTATCATCAAGCTTGCAAACACCCTACTTGGATTAAAGCTATGAATGCTGAACTTGATGCTTTAGAATCCAACCATACTTGGGAATTAGTTCCATTACCACCTGGAAAAAGACCAATTGGCACAAAATGGGTTTATAAAATTAAACTTAAGCCTGATGGGAGTATAGATAGATACAAGGCCAGATTATGGCCAAAGGTTACAATCAAGTTTATGGGGTGGATTATTTGGAAAGTTTTTCTCCGGTTGCCAAGCTTGTTATTGTGAGAATTTTCTTGGCCATTGCTACTGCCTATTCTTGGCCATTACACCAATTAGATATTAACAATGCTTTCTTACATGGATATTTGGATGAAGAAGTCTATTTGTTTCCTCCTGGTGGTTATTCTAAGGCACAAAATGGAGAGGTTTGCAAACTAAAAAAAATCCTTATATGGCCTAAAACAGGCTTCCAGACAATGGAATCATGAATTATGCACTAAGTTACTAGCCTACGGTTTTGATCAATCCAAGTATGATCATTGTCTCTTTATTAAACCTTTTGCAGATAGTTTCTTGGCTCTAATTGTTTATGTTGATGATGTTTTAGTAATGGGCCCTAATGAAAGTGATATTGCAGCAGTTAAGGCTTAGGGCATGCCAAATATTTTCTTGGGATAGAAATAGCTCGCTCTTCAGAGGGAACTTTTATCAATCAAAGGAAATATATTTTGGATATCCTTGAAGACATAGGTCTGGTTGGTGCAAAGCCTGCTTCTACTCCTTTTCTCAAAGGTTGCAAGCTTAGTTCAGAATCTTCCAATCCCTTATCTTTTCCTGATCAGTATAGAAGATTAATTGGCCGTTTATTGTATCTTAATTTGACAAGACCTGACGTTAGTTTTGCTGTTTAGTAGCTGAGTCAGTTTGTTAATTCTCCTTGCCAAGAACATTGGGATGCTGCTTTATACATCCTGCAGTATCTCAAGGGATCTCCTTCTAAAGGTTTATTTTTTCTAGCTCACTTTTCCTTTACAGTCATAGCTTATTGTGATGTTGATTGGGCTTCTTGCCCTGATTCCCAATGGTCTCTCACTGGCTATTGTGTGTTCCTTGGCTCTTCTCTTATTTCATGAAAGACAAAGAAACAAACTACAGTTTCTAAGTCCACTGCAGAAGCTAAGTACAGGAGTATGGCAGCCACAGTTTGTGAGTTGCAATCGATCTCCTATTTGCTTCAAGACTTGCTGATTTCTTTCTCCTTACCCATTATTCTTTAGAGTGATAATCAAGCTGCCCTACACATCACTGCCAATCCAGTTTTTCATGAGCATACTCAGTACTTGGAAATTGATTGTCATGTGGTTCGGGATCAATTCAAGGCAAGTTTCATAACTCCCCAGCACATTCCATCTTCACAGTAACTTGCTGAATTCTTCACTAAACCTCTTACTGCTCCTCATTTTACATATTTCTTGTCTAAGTTGGGTTTAGTGATTGTCACCTAGCTCCAACTTGAGGGGGGATGTAGGAATTAATTGGAAGGGGTATTTATGTAA